CTCAATTTACAAATTTATTATCATAGAATATAAAAAAAAAACTCAAAAGACAATAATTTGTTGGGAAATATATTAGTTCTTCTGCTTTGTCATTTAATGTTCATAAGTTTGAGAACAAAATTTAGTGTAGCCCTGGATTTAAAAAAAAAAAAAAAAAAAAAAAAAAAAAAACATTAAGTAAAAACTAATTCATGACATAACCATTAATAAATTGGTGTAGAATAAGTTATGGGTGTCAATATGCTTGTTAGTTGAACAGGCAGAAATAAGTATATTAATCTAAACATTTTCAGATAAATAAAAGAGAAAAAATAACTCTTTCATAGAAGTAAACATTGACAAATCATTTGTGATAATAAAATTGAATAATTCAATGTTTTTTACCACAATATCATCCGACTTCATCATCACAAAACATCTGTGACTTTGTAAAGGCCTTAATGGATTATGACATTTTCAATGGCCTTTTATAAATATAAAACCCAATATCCACTTGAACATCCACTTGAATAAAGTTCAGAAAATTAAAATAAAAGCCCAATATTTAAACTAAGAAGAAATGGTTATAAACCTTTCAGTTTTTATTAGACCTTGACTGCTCTTTAGTTGGTCACTTGCTGTATTTTTCTAAAAAAAAATTAGGTTTCTGTTGGGAAAACTTCTGTAGGATAACAGAGACACCAATTTCTGATTGATTCTCTTGCAATAGAAGTTGATGGCTGAGGCCAACATGTAAATGACTAAAATGGTTTCTTTTACACACATTAAAAGAATGCAAGTCATAAATTACATTCAATGATATACATATTAGAATTTTACAAGCATCTAAAAATCACTCATTTTATTAGGCAGTGGTTGGAAAAGAATTATGTACAAAGAGACTAGAGTCAGACCTTTAAAAGCATTTTGGCAAGCTACAGAAAGTATAGATTTCAATTATTAGAGGTTATGTTGGTAATTACTCCTGAGTTTTGCTAAGAAATTCTCTAAGTCTCCCCTTCCTTTGCTAAAATTCTATTCAATGACTTCCCAAAATGTTTGGCTCTGGAAAACAGGATAATCTAAAAGAATGTATAAATTTAAAGGCTTCAATGAAGTGAATAACATTTTAACCTTTGAGCAGGAACAAAAGATAAATAATTTCCTATAACAATTTTATTCAGTTTTTTAGTAGAACATTCACATGACTATCATCTTATATAAATATGTTGAAATTTAAGAATTTCCCAATATGTTGTACAGAAGTTATGGCATGTGACAAAGAAAGAAAATAATGTGACACAATTGACCTCAAAGAATAAAGAAACAAGCTAAAAACTTTTAATTCGGGAAACAAAAATAATTTTTACAGAAGGAGATTTAACCATGGAATAAACTTATTGCCCTTCATTCTACCAGTCAGGTTGTCAATAGACTATATATTTTGTTATCAACATTTTTGTTGTTTGGTCAAGTCTGCCATTGCCAAAGAATAATAATAATGTCCAGAAAGAAAAGCCCAAATGCTATTTTCATTAGGTTGTGCCTTCATATATGTTGTGTGTATGAAATTAAAAAAAAAAAGAAAAAAAAAGAGAGAGTATGTTTGGTAGGAGGCTGATAAAAGCTGGGTGATTAGCAATGAGACCAAATGTCTGAGAAAACAGAAAATCATTAGCTATGCATTGTCAGTCATTATTTAGTAACCAATCATTTTAATACATCTTCAATATCACAGGCAAGTTAGATACACATCAACTTCTATTTCTTCACATATGAACTTTGTATATCAGTGTGAAAAACTGATCATTCAATATTTGTGTGAATTGAACTTTTATTAGCATATAATCAACACCCATTTCAAGTTATCAGACTTAATGGAGACCTCCATAGTATGGTCAAAGAGAAAACCTTCAGGAACCCAAATACATTCAATCTCATAGTAAATCTTGCAGAAAAGTAGTCTTAAGAAAAAAAAAAACCAACCAAAAAAAAAAAAAAAAAAAAAATTTGTCCACATACCCTTATTCTTGAGCATCAAATATTTTCACATGAATGAAAAGCATTGGCTATGTCTTCCACTTTTTTTTTTTTTTGTTAAAGATAATTCAGCACAACCCCTAAACCACAGCAATAAAAGAAAGTGATATATAACACCTTCCCAAGGGAATGTCCTGCTTAAAAAAAAAAGGAAAGGTTAATAAAAAAATAAACAAGCAATACAGGAGTGTTGAATGCTAATAATGGGAAATTCCAATTTGAAAAATAGTTTTTCCCTCATCAATTGTAGAATGCTGCTAATTTCAAATTCTATTGAGAGAAAAAAAAAAAAAGACCCCCATTGGCAATATTGTAGACTCTCCATTTTGAAGTTTGGGGGGTAACATCTTCCTATCTACATTTCTTATGCTTAACTCAATATTGATATTAATAGTTTTTTGGGTTTTTTTTTTTTTTAAATTGTCATTCTAAAGGTTTGCTTAATTGAAAGCTAGTTTAGAAAAAAAAAAAAACAAAAAAAAAACTACAAACTTATTTCTTGAATTTTTAAAAATTAAATGTAGTATCGTCAACCATTAATTTTTCCTATTATTTTTTTTCTCTTACTTTTCATTGCAAATACTCAGACAAATAAACAGTACAGAAATAAACAATAAGCATTTTGCAAGACCTGAACTTGCATCCATTTCTGAAGCCACTTACTCTGCTTGAACTGTAAAAGTCAAGAGCAAATCAAATCAAGCCATGCAAATGTATTCATTATTTTTCCCAAATATCTGGTACTGTAGTCTGATGTTTTAAAAACAGATTTTCCTTTTTCAATAACATTCAAAAATACATTGAGGTTATATATGATAAAAATATAGTTGTAAGGAATGCTATATTTATGGGTAAAAGTACTCAATATCAGAGATTGAGTGTATATAGATATGAATGGCCATTGTGACCAACACTAAGTGCCAATGAGAGCCTGTTTCATGCTTCCACACAATCTTCAGGCTTAAAAATTGTGTTGAAGCACGAGACATCCTGTCATGGCCACTTGGTTTTAACTTCAGTGTCCACACACACATATATGTAAATTATTTTCAGATAGCATGTATTTGTAAAAGGAACAAAATGAATAAAAAGATGAGAGGAAAAACTATTCTTATCCAACATGTTTCATCCTCTGAGGGTCTTTATCAAGACTACCTGGATAAAATCCTTTAAAGGATGAAGCACGTTGACAAAGAATAGTTTTTCCTCTTGTCCCTTATATATATATATATATATATAAAAAAAAACCCAACTGTTTGTTACATAATTGGTTGGGGCGTTACCCAACAAAACACTGTTTAAAACACATTACATTTAAAAAGTCATGTTTATTGAAAGTTTCATATATATATATCTCAGTGTAGACTGTCACCATGTAGTGTTGATTTCTGTCAGTTTCATACCTTAAGCAATCTTTACCATTACACAGGGTTTGAAAATGATAGCCACATGTTTTCTATCTACAAATATTCTATCCTCAATATTCTCCATTCATAAATAATGAAACATTTTATTTTTACTCATTTTTCAACTAATTTGTTTCGATTCATCTATTTTCCATCCATCCTCAGATGCATGGTCATCTTTGCTTCACAGAGATGTTATAGACAAGATTACCTGAAGAACCTGGAAAGCAGATAAAACAACAGAGTTGGAGGTTGATGGCATTAGTAGGGGCTGGGTAGTAATAATATTGAATAATAATAATTCATCCCCAAGACAATGTGACATATTTTTTAAGGATCTTGTCAGTTTTGGTTTCTGTAAAATTACTGAACAGATTCTTTAACAGAAAACAATGAGTGTTATAACACACAATGATTCCATAAAAACACAGCCAACATTTATGGATTCTGAAAAAAAAAAAAAAAAAAATCTAAGTGGGCAATTTTTTGTTCTAATGATCTTCAGTTTCATGAATAGTGGAAGAGCCAATGCTTTTTTTTTTATCAGATGAGCCACATCACCTTCATTTACTAAATGTAAAAACAAAATTTAAAAAATAGTAATCTAAATAGCTAGAAAAATGTCAAAACAACTTTTGTTGAATTCTTTAACAGTATCAAGAACATTGTTTTGCATATTTTACAGGTAGTTTAGATAAACTTAGAATTTTAATAAATTTAAAGAAAAACAATTTTAAGCTTTGACAAATTTACATTCCTTAATAAGGAAACTGCCAAATTTGAAGTGAAAAGCTTCTTTTGTACCATTAAAAAAATGATTATTTACATTATTTGGACTGCTGTCCGAATCTTTATTGTCATATGTAAATAATTACAATACTTTGTCTCAGAAATATAGGCAGATATTAAAAGTGATGCTAGATAAAACTTTTCAAGGCTGATAGAAATGGATCTAAAAATGTATTCAGCTAATCCATATCTTATGTCTCCATTTATACACATTACCTCTGTGCAATATTGACAATTATACACACAGCTGCTCAGGCATTAAAGATTTCTGTAGCCTTTTGACCTGTAAACAATCACTTCCAAGAAAAAAATACTTAGGCCCAATGTATTTTCTCAAACAGAATTGCTATAAGTAACTGTAAAGTGCTAATTAATCAGAAGTACTGCCTTGATATGCTTTCTCGTTTGTGTGTCAATGATGGAATGACACAAAAATGCTTCTTTCAAAATTAATGGCATTTGTTTTGGGATCAAAGAGCAAATACAATAACTATGCAATCCAGGAAAAAAGACACTCCTAAAAAAATTAAGATGATTGCGTCATTTTATCCCAGAAAAAAAAAAAAAAAAAAAAAAAAAAGTTTTAATTTTCTATTTGTTTTCTGAGACTGTCAGTTGGAAAATTGTGTTAATTGCAGTGAAAGAATAAAAAAAAAAAAAAAAAAAATGAAGTCAACTTAAGAAGAGTGAATGGATGATTTATGTGAAGAGAAAAAGACTAAAATGGGAGTTGATTATCATTACAGACTAAATAGAAAGTTCCAATGTTATGCCAAAAAATGTACATCAATTATTTGGATTGTCAGCTTTCTTCTTGATCTCCCGCTCAAAGATTTTTTGCCTGTCACAGAAACCAAGTCGTCCTTTGCCATAAGAGTTTGGTCCAGCAGCAGTTGGAGTATCCCTGAAAAAGAAAAGTTTATATTCAACATTTTGAAAAGCAAGTAAAGTAGCAGAAAAATGGTTACAGCCCTCTCTTGAAAAAGAAACATATTCAAAATTAATCATTTGGACTAAGTAAATATAATCTTTATGGCTTGAGAAAATCAGGAATTGGCCTCTTATTCTGCAAATCTTATGCTTCTGAAGAAGAAAAAACTGAAAGTCACTGTTATAGTGTTGGAAGCCAGAATTTGCTTAGAGAACATTTCAAAGGAAAATGAGTGAAGCAATTACAAAATTTAATATTAAGAAATGATAAGTCTTACATATTTTTATAGCATCAATTAAATACATTAAAAACAAAATATCAAAAGAAGCAAAACATAAAATATTGGGATTTCGATTCACAGAAGCAAGCATGTAGTTTCAATAAAAATATTTTCCTAGTGCAAATTTTTTTTTTTTTTTTTTTTTTTTTACATAAAATTTTCTGAAACTGGCACTTGGAAAAGTAGAATTTTGCAAGTAAAACAGTTTCATCTTTTCAAGTAAATTTTATTTTTCTCATCAAATTCTAAGTTACCTGATATTTGCTCATCCCAAGAAAGCTCTTTGCCTTACCTGCCAATATTTCTCATCCTCATTTTTGCTTCTGGAGGCATTTCTTCTTCTTCACTCTACAAAAGAGAAGTGATATACAAAGTTTTTGGTCAAATGAGTGGATGTGTCCCAGAATAATTGTTACAAAAAAAAAAAAAAACAAACAAAATAATCCATTGACAGTCAAGCAAAAAAGAACAAAATAAATTCAAGCTTGGAAGTTTGTTTTTTCTTTTGTTTTTTTTGTTTTTTATAGAAATTGTGCCAATTTTCAAAGTAAATGATTAAAACATTTTTGTACCAAGAAAAATGGTTAAATGTATATCAGTAAACCAGTAGAAGTGCTTGAAGATGAACAGATAGTTTCAGTTTTTCTCATGCGAAAGAGCAGAAAATTTTATACATGAATTCACAGATATGAATAAATATTCCAAATGTTTACAAGGTTCAGAAGACCTACTAGCTCAACATCAAGACATTTTAAAATCTATAAAAAAAAAAAAAAATTTTGGTAACCCAAAATATTCAGCATTTTTTTTATTATTTAAAAACCATCTCTACAAACTGAGTATTGTTTAAATAACTTGATAAAATGTAAATATCTAAAGCTAGAAAATTAAACAGAAAATAAGGTTTTAATTCCTTTTAAATTTTTACTTCAGTTAAAACTTCTCTTTAAAAAAGGAAACTATATGTAAAAACCCTTTTCAAAAATGTGTGTATACATCGCTATATAAATACTTATTTACCTCTTCATCCGGATTAAAAGCTTTTGCAACAGCAGCACTTTTCTTCATTACCGGAGCTTTACTTTCTGATTTTTTCTGGAAAAAAAAAAAAAAAAAAAAAAAAAGAAATAAAATATAACCTAATTTAAACTTAAGAATTAAAAGGTCATAAAACATAAAAACCCAATTTTTTGAGTAAGTAAAACCAATGATTGTACACACTGGAGAGAAAGAAATGTTGTAATGTCCTTTTAAAGTGCAAGTAGATTGTTATTGTTACTCACTTTAGTGGGAGTATTTTATTCCTATTAAATATATAATCTATTGTTTGCAATTGAATGTGCATTAAGTCAAAATGACAACAGTTAGGAAATTTTGTACATTAAAACAAAAAGTTATAATTTTTATATTATGCATTTTAAGTCTCCATATCAAATTTTTTGTCAATCAATTTATATCTGGTCTATTTTGAATAACAGTAAAAGTACAAAGCAAATGTATATTGACCGACCTGTGTATTAAGTGACATTTTAATAGGAGCAGATTTTGGATGTTTTTGCTCTTCATTATTTTTCATAAGAGATTTGCTTTCTTCAGGCTTGGTTGAAGAACTGAGAAAGAACTTCTTTTTCGATTCTGGCTTGTCCTCATGATTCGTGTCTTCCTCGACAGCAGTGGCTTTTCTTTTGTCAGCCGTCCGTACATCTTCATCTCTAAGGTCAGCGTCTGTCGTTGTCGTCGTCGTAGTAGTTGTAGTTGTAGTAGTAGTTGTCGTCAGCACACTGGAGTTGTCTTCCTTTCCATGCTGGCAGGTAATGGCAGTTCCTGGTTAATTTGAAAGTACTGGGAAATGTGAAACACTTGTCATATGGATTAGACCGAATGACAGCCACTGTGGAACGTAAAGAATAAAAAGAAGAGTAAGCAAAACTCGAAAGAACAGACCTCAGTCTCCAGATGCAAGAGTACTTAAGATTACTAATTCTCTCTCAAGACAAAGTCAGATTCAACATTTTTCTTCAGAGAATTTTAAAAGTAAAACAAATCAATGTAATCTTATTTTCCTTCAAATAATCTGATTGATTCACTTTAAAGAAATCTATTTTAAATTTTGCTACATAAATCTTGGCTCCATGCATTAATATTTTGCATTCAAAGGAGTCAAAGTCAATCTCAGAAATAAGTTTTCAGAAAATTTTTCAAATGTGAATAGACATTTTGAATTTAGAAGAAATGAACAGCAGTAATTGCATCTTTGTTAAATAAAAATATCATTCACCATGTAGGCCAAGGGAATAAATATTTCTAATTAAATGGAAAAAAATTCTGCATAATTTCCTGCTTTTCCAGTAAGAAGCCAAGTCATGTGAGAATACAATAGCTGTTATGTTGAGAAGAGGAAGATTGAGACCCAAGTTTAAGAAAAAGAAATTTGTTTTTTAATTTATAAAAGTTAAAACAAAAATTATTTTTTGTTGATGTCTATCTATTTTCATTTTGCACTTATATATAACCCCCCACCTAATTTACAGTCCCCCCTCGTACAAAATTCTATCTATTTCACCCCCAATCATATATACAAAACAAAAAAAACAAATCAACTGTAAATGCCATTGTGAAAAAAAACATCTAATTTTGGATAAGCAAAAACATGTCTGGATAAGATTTTGCTTCTAATTTATCAATATATTAGTATCTGTTTACAGCAAACTGACACACACACACACACACACTTTGCTATCATGTAAAAATCAATATTAAAAAAATATTTACTTTTTAAATTACAGAAAAAGAAAAAAAAAAAAAAAACTTGTTAATATTTCTAAAATATTTGTATTTGCTAATTAAATTTTGGTATTAATTTCTGGAATTTAGGAAATCGGTATTTTTTTTTTTTTGCTTTTAAAGCAACTGCAAATTTGTAAGATTGAAGAAAAGTCATTTGGAAACTACCTTTCAATGATACAAACACTTTTAACAGCCATGAATGACTTTCAGAAGTTTTATATAAAAAGAAAATATTTACAACTTAAATGTGTCAAATTTATAAAATGTTAAGGAAAAGAATATTTGAAACACACAAGAGTAGGGAGAGGTTAAAAATTAATGTGGAGAGTAAACGGTTCTTTCAAAATAAAATTCAGAAATTATCTTAACTTAATTAGCAATAAAAAAGTTGCACAAAAATACTGTATTTCTAAAGGTATCTAAAAATAAATAAATAAAAAATCCCAAAACTCAGTATTTTTATAGCAATTGTAAAGATTCTTTGTTGCCCAAAGCATTTCAACAGTTCAATCTGAAAACATTAAATAAATTAAATTTTCATTTAAGCTTATCAAATGTATCAAACATAAACGACACCAAAAGAAAAAAAAGGAAAAAAAAAAAAAAAAAAAAAAATGTTCTTTTTCATTTAAAAAAAAAAAACTAAACAATACAAAAATTGCGATTGAATAGTTTTTTTGAAAATATTCACAGATGCTCCAATTTATTGAAGTTGGCATTTAAAAAGTTTGTTTTTATTTTTATGGACTATGCAAAAATCAAATTCTGTCAAGAAATAATCCAAGTTGATGGAATTTGGACTAGTTCTTGAGGATATTTGATTTCAGGAAAAGTCAAGTTATCAATGGTCAGTTAATTTAATTCAAAGCATTTTCTTTACATCTAATACAAAATCTCATGGGGTGACAAATAATTTTTAAAAATTCATTCTTATAGATAATTACATGTGCAAAATCTTCCAATTGTCTCAAGAGTTGAATATTTGTAACATTTTGTTGTTTAACATGAAGTGGTGACCTGTGTTACAACAATAGACACACATTCAACTTCTTGTAAAAACAACTATCCAAGGGAAAATATCAAATACTTAAGAATATGAATTAAATAAATAGAATACAACATTCGATCTTCCAAAATTAAACAAAAACTGATGAACATAAAAATCAAGAGAATTGCTCATGACAAAATTCTCCTGCCAAAATCTCGTCAAAGTTGAATTTTGTAAACAAAACTCTCTGAATTAATCAACTATACAACTTAAACACATCAATTTTAACCCAAATTAACTGATAATTTATCTGCAATTTTCTTTTTGCAAATATCAAAACCAAAGGACACAGTGGCTATCAACAAAGGAAAGAATGGACAATAAAATAGACGAGAAAAAAAAAACGTGAATGAAAGTGTCAGTAGTGTAGAAAACAATAAGGAAATCTTTAAAAAGAGAAATTACATTTTTGATAAGACTAGAGAGTGTTTTTTTTTTTTTTTTTGAAGACAATAAATGGATTAAAAAAACTTAAAACAACAGCAATCATAATGATTCTACCCCAACATTTTTAGTATTTTCATTGCAAGTTCAAGTTTCCCGTCGTTTTTACACAGATCAAATCAAAGACCACAAAACTAAGTTTCTTACAAACAAATAATAATAAAATAAAAGTAAAACTTATGCCAAATTTTTAAAAATAAATATTATTCGTAGATTTTGATGAAATAAGATAGTGACTGAGTTTGTTTGAAAGACAAAAAATAAAAAAAATAAAATAAAAGTGCCAACTTCGTTATTAAATTAATATTACTTCATCTTTTTTTAAAACATTTACATTACTTACTTACTTAATTCTGCTGACCCAATGTGGTGTACAAACATGAAAAAAAGAATTAACACTAAGTATTCCAAAATTTTATTCTTAAAATTTTAAGGCATTTTCTTTACATATTTTGGAGCAAGCATTAACTCAGTATTTTCCTTTTATAAATTAAATGACACCAAGATTTTCCTTACAAAATAATTTTTACTTTTAAATTGAGCTGAAAATTTTCTGTCAAAAATATTTAAGCAAATTTAGTTTTTTTTTTTTTTTTTTTTTTAAATCAGTTGTAAATGTATTTTTCTCGACGAACCGCTTTTACAAAAATATCATTTTTATGATATCCAATAATTTCAGGATTTTAACTTCCATTTTTTTTTACTGAGCCATGAATTCTAAAATTATTGTAGAATCTATTTACATTGATTTAAAATAAATTTAATTTCGCATTTTGATCAATATTTTGCATTTGAAGCTATTTCAACTGAAATCAAAATTATATTCTTTTTCAAACATTTCCTTTTTTATTTTAGTCTCACGAATTCCATTATAAATTATCCTTTCCATTTGATTTGTTCAAAATGTCCATAAAATTGTTTATTTTTTACTTAAATACACAAAAAAAAAAAAAAAAAAATCACCAAATCATATTTTTGAAGTATTGATTTACATTCAGGAAAAAGAATTTACTTTAATTGTACTAACATACAGAGAATTATGCTTAGCATTTTAATTTCTTTACTGACATAGAAAAAAAAGCATCCAAAATTAACTCTTGGCAATTGCGAATATATTTTAATTTTAATTTTTTCTTTGTCGTGATTTTCTTTCCTCGGCCATTAGACATTTCTTGCAAGGAAAGAAGTGAACAAATCGTAGCAACTTCTATATAAACACTCAGCTTATTCATTATTTTCATTTCTTCAAGTTCCCCGTATTGAACGAAATAAAAAAAAAAATCATAACATACAAACAAATATAAATAAATAAAAGAAATTTGTAATATTTACGAACCCCCGGCATATTCTTGCTCGCCAGCATCGGCCATGATTATTGTCAAATCTCGAATGCAAATCTCATTTAACTAACGTCGCCACGCGAGATTTGTAACCTGAATCAATTTTTTTAAGCTTCACTAATTTTTATTTTAGTTCTTAATTTTTGTTGCATATGTTGAATGCAATAACTGAATAGATTACATTAGCAATTGTTTCTGAAAAGTGTTATAGATTTGAAAAAGTTATTTATTAGATTTCAGGGGGAAAACAAACCATAAATAAATTTTTAACACATTGTGACAGTGACACGTGTGCACCCCCTCCGCCCCCTATATTTATCCGCATGCCCGTTCGAACAGAATATGGCACAAGACCGGATTTAAACTGGAAGTCCAACGCGTACATGGGACTAGGGATAAAAAACTGCTCAACTACTCTCGGCATTCCCTCTTTGGGGATGCCTCAAGCTATCTAAAGAAAATCTCTTTCCAACGAAAGAGGAATCGCTTGCCCTTGTGGGGGTGTGGGAGCTTAGCTGTACTTCATTGTGGTTCTTCTGTCTGGGCCACGTAAGTTTTTTTTACATTTTCTCATGACAAAAAAGGAAATAAATAAATCTTTTTCAACATCTGATTTATTTTGGCTGGTCAAGAAATGTATGATCATAGTTCTCTCCTGTTTAGCGTTAAACAACGAAAATAGTACCATCTCTTACACTTGAATGACAGGAATTGATTCTGCAATTTTGTTCGGGGTTTTCCATTATTTTTGGATGCCATAGAATTAAAAAAGCGCAACAATAAAAAACGCGATCAGGGTTAATAGCGGAATTAAAAAAAATACATTCTTATTTTATTTTTTAATTTTCAGTGTGTTAAAAAATTTAACTTATAAAATCAGTACATGACCAATGAAGGATGATCGGAAAGTTAAGAAAAAGAAATCTGGAGGATTTAGGGAAGACTAATGACACTAAGTACTACTATTATTCCACTCCAAAGTAAGAGAAATATTAAAATTACGTTAGTGCAAAAAAAAAAAAAAATGATTATCCCACAAACAAAACGTGTGTGTTTCAGGGAAGGTATCTTGTCAGTGAATAACGCAAACTGGCCTGAAAAGAGCGTGGATAAAACTGGGTAGAGAGATTGATGTACTGATGATTGTGTATAAATCGCTTTTTGGGGATGTATAGGTACAACAAATAAATCGGAAACTGTCATTGAAGGGAAAACGTAAAAGGTTCGGTCTTTTAGTGGCTGTTGCTCTATTTGAGCCAAGAAATCAAGTCAGACCTAAGTCGTTTTAGCATGGAAAAGGAAACCTCATGAGATCTAAAGATAAACCTTCAAGATTAAAAAGAAAAACATTTAAAAAAAAATCTTAGCCACGGGGTGTGGGAGAATGTGATCGGTTTGTTTTTTATCATTTCATCATAAGCAAGGCGATATGCCACTAAGACGCAAGACGTTGCTGGCAGTGAAAGAGAATGAGAAGACTTTTTAGAAGAAATCCAATCCTAAACAAGAGACAAGGAATGAATGGCTACTCCTGTTCAATCTATCTACTCCATTCTTGCCTACAATCACTGAATATTGTAAAGAATTTGGAGCAGCTGACCAAGGAAGTGTCGAGGAGAATACCGAAGAGAATAATTGAAATTTGTGGTCGCTTGACTTTTTCTTTTTTATCTTACAGTCCCCTCGAGCTGCGAGCAACAATTAACAACTGAATATTACACACTCCTTAAAAACATTTATTCTTTACTTAACTCTAGGCTAAGTTTTCATTGGTGTGATAATTTTCTTCGAGCATCTGATCATTAAAACTAAAAATTAAACAATAAAAACTGGTGAAACCTGACTAAAAAAGGAATTCTGGCAGAATTTAACTCCAATGCAAAACGTTACACACAAACTGCAGAAACACTTAGAATTGTTCACCCAGTGGCGCAACTATTTTCGTTTAATTGTTAGCATATTAATCATTGCGCTAGAGCAGGTGTCATTTTAAAAGCTAACTTCATTTCTGCGACTGAAAATGCTTAAAAAAATGCAGGTTTCGTTTAAAAATTAAATCATCTTAATTTTTCCGTTTTGGTTTTGTAACCGGGAAAATGAATATAATGAGAAACCCTATAGTGGGTTATCAGTTATGGTGAAGTGTATGAGTGTTAAAAAACAGATTAGTTTGATTTGGCCTTGTTAGATAGCCTACCATAAGAGGGGTATAAAACAAGAAAATCAAATGTTCTGTTCGTTTATCAAGTATAAAAGAGGTGAGGGAGAAAAGTAGAGATAATAATAACGATCGCTTGACGTTTGTCAAGGGACTCGCTAATACGTTCGTCTCCTTCTCTCTGGTGACATGCGAACTTGCCCGTATTTTATTTCGTTTGTGGGGCTTGAAAAAGTCATTTGGGAATTCACTCCTGGATATGATTCGGGCCTTTCCATTGGACGACGAACAAACTTCGCGTCGGCTCGCGAAAAGGTCCGTAAAAGAATTTGTTTTTGAGAATTGAAGATTATTTAAATTTTGTTTTTAAATGTTTCCTAATTTTCTATTGGCCGAAAAACATTTCGCATCAAGGTGTGAAATTTCACGAGTTTTGTTTTGGATTCGCTTTTGCGTGTGTGTTAAGCAAAGTTTGTAAATTCGAGTCTTTTTAATTTCTAACAAAATCAATGAGTCAGTGCTTAGCATTTGAATTTTAAATCTAGATCTTGTTTTGTTTACTACAACCCTCCACTTCCGCATTGCAAGAAAGTTCACAACTAAAACTTGAGTGTGATAAATTTTCATTGAATTCAGATTTTAAATACGTTTATTTTTTGTTAAAAACTGTAGTCATTGAATTTGTTTTTTGTTGTTTTTTTTTTGTTTGTTTTTAAGTATGTGTGTCGGTATTCAAGATACTCAAATCTAGCAGAATCACTCTTTTTTTTAGCCTTTCAAAAATCATTCTGTTTCTGTTTTCTATTGATTTACTTAGAATAATTTTTGAGTTTCCAGGAAATACAAATGAAAGTAGTAACCATAATCTCCTGTTTGTTGTGAGCAATCTGTAACACTCAAAGACACCGAAGAAAATCGTTAGCACCAACAACCAAAGAAACAATGTCACTCGACTGGAAAACATTTTGGGAAAACAACAAAGTTAAGTGTTATTATGTTTTGAACCAGTTCGTTAAATCTGATAATATATTACTTGATGACTTGAATTATGATCAGAAAAGTGACAGAGATTTTGTTAATGCTAACATTGAAGCAAAAACAAGCAGTGGCATGTTCGAGCGTCCTCGCTACCCGTTCTATTACTTGTGTCACGGAACTGTGAACGAAAATGCTCATTTGATTGAAGAAGAAAAAGGTTTTATCGCTTCAAAAATAACGCCAACCAATGAATTTAACAACTGCTTTTTTACATGGTGGCATGTTTATCCTTATTCTTCACCTGAGTTCGATTTGACTGAAGAGAAGAAAAGCACATTTACGGAAGAAATTAAAAAAATGAAATCTCAAATTCTGAAGCCATTTGGAGAAAATATAACGTCGAAAGAGAAAGAAGAATTAGGCAAGTGTTTGGTTACTTCAGGTGTCTTTAAAGCTAGACTTTTCCCATATTTTCAACGTAATTTTATTTATTCAATACCGGAACTTTTGGCTGCTTACAAAGTAACAATGAACTGTGACAAATTGTCCTTCAAAAAATATGGAACTTTTGTCTATCTCAAATCGAATGACCCTGTTGAATATTACCGGGAAATAATGTATGCGATTTTAGTATGCCCTGCAGAGTCAGAAGAGTTTTCAGAGCTTCTTGATGAAGCTGATGATATTGAGGACTTTCTCTGCTTTGATTTGCACCAACCGGAAAAAGTTCCTTGGGAATGGATACCATATTCAACATCTGCAGGAAAACCAAAAATGGAGCGACATTGGGATCATGTTGCGTTTGCATTTTATTTAACTGAAGGAAAATATCTTTGTCCAGAAAGGAGACCAATTTCTGTACCTGTTCTTGAGAAAAATCTATTTGATAATTTACAAAATATCAGTGCCAATTAAATGCGAATGTTTGAGGAAAATTGTGCTTTACAACGCAGTAAAGATACGTGTCCTTTTGCACATTTTGTTTTTTTACCTAATTTATCAATTACGAAGCTTATTTAACTAAATTGGAAATAGCAAGATCTTTTGTTTATAAAAAAAGTTGTTTGTTGTTGTTGTAAAAAAGAAAGAGATACAAACGTCTTTGTGCCTGAAATATGGTTCTAAAATATCTAAACAAAAATAATCTTTAAAAATCTATGTTAAAAAGTGTTCAGGGAAATAGTTAAAAAAAAACCAAAAAAACAAACGATTGATTATTCATAAAGAAAATAAGACATGAAATTAAGTACCTAAAAAGATTCGCTAAAATATGAGCATATGAAATTTTGGTTAATAACCTTGTTTCTCCAGTGTACCATAAATTTAAAAATTAGTATGCGAACTTTGAGCGTCTTTTGCGTTACAAAACACATTGATTAGAAAATTCTCCGACATTTATTTGATTTTTGTAAGAATTTCCAAATCAACGTATTTTTTCACCGCAAAAAAGATGCTAAAATTTCTTATACTGATCTTTGTCCCACACTACAGACTCAAGAAAAACAAGATTTTTAACTAGTTTCGAACGAAAGTATAAAAAAAAATATAATTTAAAAAATTCTTTGGTCTTTTCTCTTTATAATAACAAAAAGATTTTGAGGATAAGACTTCGTTTTTTTTTGGTTTTTGGGAGTTTTTTTTTTTGTTAAATTTGGGGCATTTTTTCATCATGGTATATTCATTTTTTAGTGAATCTGTGGCGGTAAACCTTAAGGTACCTACCGTGGCGTAAAAAGCAATCACAGAACCAATTCGACTGTAACAAATTTGACAAATACGAAATACGTAATTTTTCAAAAGCAGTTGGGATTTGTTGGGTGTCTGATTTTTAATTTTAATTTTATTAACGTGCAAGCATGTTATTAAAAATGAGAGTTGTCTCGCAGTAGAAAAC